AAAGAGTGTAGGTCCCGCACACAACACAAACTTTGGATTCCTTCTTTCGGGTTCAAAAATTCGATTTGAATCTATTTCAAAAAACTTAAATCGAGGTATTTCGATTTTGTTTATGTCGAAACTTGTATAGTACATGCATATTTATATTGTTGAATGTGTTTCCATGTTAATTTGTGTTATGTTTGTGTTTAAATTTGTATCTTATTTATACCCGGATTAATTTATTAGCTTTGGGACAAAAAATAGTTCAAACTTGATAAATAATTTTTATTGTTAATATTATGTTTCTATTTGCTTAAAAAATAAATAAATATTATTTATTTAGTTTGTTATTCATATGTATGTTATGTTTATTGTTTTTATATGTAATAGTAGCCTTTTAGCGTAGTAAAATATAGAGTCTTTTAGCGTAATAGAATATAGAGCATTTTAGTGTAGTAAAATATATAGCCTTTTAGCATAGTAAAATTTACAGACTTTTAGCGTAGAGTCTTTGTAGTTTAAGTATGTAGTAACTGGAACTCATAGATAATTACTCAGTCCAATTCAATAATTAATTATTTAATTTATTAAATTAACAAAATTGTAAAAATGCTGAAATTGACACGCATAGTAAGTAAGGATAACTTGGTGCTACCGGGCCTCAAATATCGAGCCTGGAACCCATACATAATTATTCGGTCCAATTCAATAATTTTTAATTTAATTCCTTAAACTAACAAAATTCTAAAAATATTAAAATTGGCACGCATAATAATTAAGGATAACTTAGTGCTACCGGACCTCAAATATAGAGTCTGAAACCCATAGATAATTACTCAGTCCAATTTAATAATTAATTATTTAATTTATTAAATTAACAAAATTGTAAAAATGCTGAAATTGACACGCATAATAATTAAGGATAACTTGGTGCTACCGGGCTTCAAATATCGAGCCTGAAACCCATAGATAATTACTCAATCCAATTTTAAAAATAATTATTTAATTTATTAAACTAACAAAATTCTAAAAATGTTGAAATTGAAACACATAATAATTAAGGATAACTTGGTGCTACCGGGCCTCAAATATCAAGCCTTGAACCCATAGATAATTACTCAGTCCAATTTTAAAAATAATTATTTAATTTATTAAACTAACAAAATTCTAAAAATGTTGAAATTGATACACATAATAATTAAGGATAACTTGGTGCTACTGGGCCTCAAATATCTAGCCTGGAACCCATACATAATTATTCAGTCCAATTCAATAATTTTTAATATAATTCCTTAAACTAACAAAATTCTTAGCATGTTGAAATTGACACGCATAATAATTAAGGATAGCTTGGTGCTACCGGGCCTCAAATATCGATCCTGGAACCCATGAATAATTACTCAATCCAATTTTAAAAATAATTGTTTAATTTATTAAACTAACAAAATTCTAAAAATATTGAAATTGACACACATAATAATTAAGGATAACTTGGTGCTACCGGGCCTCAAATATCGAGCCTGAAACCCATAGATAATTAGTAAGTCCAATTTTAAAAATAATTATTTAATTTATTAAACTAACACACACAATTAATTTTCTTTAAATTATAGTAGACGAAATGGACTTTCCGCCTGCGCATCCTGGACCAGCCGAGGATCAACTATTAGTGTTGCAGGGCGACCATAAGTCCTCCTTTGTATGGGAGGGACATCTATCGGATCAGCCTCTCCGCGCCAGGAGACCTGAAGATTTGTGGGACTTCATGGCGCAGCATTATTTCCATGCTCGCGTAGTCGCGCGCCTACAAGCTACGGGCTTCTATAAGATTTTTCGGATTGGACGGATGCAGCTTGATTTGTCTCTCATCACGGCCTTGGTAGAGCGGTGGTGACCGGAGACGCACACTATTCACTTGCCCACTGGAGAGGCCACCATCACACTGGAGGATGTTTAGGTTTTGTACGGGCTGCGTGTAGATGGACGGGTCGTTGCACTGCCCCAATACATTAGATCCATCGCGTGGATACTATTTGGATATGATGGGGCAGTATACTGGTTATAGACCTCAGGGTGACGCTGTACAGAGAGGGGGCAGTCGCGTTGCTTTGCCAGCCATCAGAGATCATATGGCGTTTTTGCACCCAGACATTACCGGCGAGTCGGAGAATCTCCATATTGAGCGGTACACGAGGTTGGCGTTGCTCCTGCTTTTCGGGGGTGTCTTGTTCCTGAACACTTCAGGAAGTCTAGTGAGTATGCACTTTCTCCATCATCTGAAGCAGCTAGATGATTTACCCCTGTATAGCTGGGGTGCTGCTGCTCTCGCATACCTGTATAGGAGCATGTGTCGGGCGAGCATGCTTTGCCAGGTGGACATGTGTGGTTTTCTGCCCCTTCTACAGGTGACAATATTTTCGAATACTCTGTTCATTACTCTAAATTCTATATGGTCGAAATGACCCTTAAATTTCACGTCAACCTTTTATCTTAGGTTTGGGCCTGGCAGCGGATCATGCTGTTGCAGCCACCTCTACCACCACTAAAGCCCGGTGAGGCTCATCCATTTCTCCCTCTAGCTTCTAGGTGGGTTCTCCAGTGTGGGAACTACCGAGGGACCGATGCTCATCATAATCTCCCCCTTGTCAGGGATGTGTTATATATGCTGGTGGCCGGACAGGTAAATATGTACCTACACTTACTTGTTATAAATTGAGTTGTGTTGCACATACTCACTTTTATGTTATTATTTGGTAGTTCATCTAGACGCCATACAGCGACGGGTTGCTAGCTCAGCTGCCCGATTATTGCTTAGTCGACCGACTGCTTTGGAGCACCTCCATCCCGATGATTTTCTTCGATATGGTTGAGTATCATGCCACAAAGCGTGTGCTTTACCAGTTTCATCGTCCTCAGCTTATACCAGGGGAGCCTGCATGGGTGCCTACACACTATCAGCGGGATGACCGTACTAGGGTAGACGATAGATTTATGGGATGGCTAGAGCAGCAGGTCCATATTTGGGAGCAACGACTTGACCGTATTCCGCCACCACCTTCATTTACCCAGGAGGCCACTATTCAGCTGTATATGTCATGGTACCGCCGTCACACCCGACTGATGATCGGGAACCCCATTCATGTACTTGGCGAGCGCTACAGACCATACGCTGGGAGGCACGAGGCACTGGTATATTTTTGTGGATTATTGATATCTTATATTTATGATATAGCGTTATTTAATTAATATCTTAAGTGTTTTACAGGCTATTGGGTATCACCTGGTCTACCAATTGGGACAGGAGATGCAGCAGCATGCCGACAGTGTTGCACTCGTTAAGTATGGCCGGCGGGTGGTAGATCTGGCTTGTCGGACCCTGTTTCAAGCGAGAGATGGCACGAGGTTGGATCACGAGGCTCAGTACGCGGTGCCAGAGGACTACCATCGGAGTAGGGCTGTCCCACGAGGCAGGGATAGGACACGAGGGAGGGGTGCCCCATGAGGCAGGAGTGCCCCACGGGGTCGCGGGGGACGGTGAGGAGGTGGTCCCCAGCAAATGGGGAGTTGAGGTACATGTCGACCCACCTATTGAGGGACATGATGAGGATTTTGGAGATGAGGATCTTGGAGATGATCAATCAGGTTATATACCTCAGGTAGATGAGCTTTCCAGTAGCATGTTGTCATACAGCCTTTAGCTATCTCTTCCAGCATCGCAGGTCACCCCATCAGGAGCATAGTTGATCACGGGTACATTCGACAGGGATGTAGACCAGTACTTTGCAGTCCCATCTACCGTAGCTGAGGATCGGTTGGCCCGGGACATGGATGGCGGGCGCAGGTTGACTTATGCCTCATTCCCAGCGGTTGATGCGGATCTACCACAGGCAAAGTATGTTTGTATTACTGTAAAATTTCAATTTGTTTTCTTTTCCTTAATGAGCTGTCATTAATTAATTTTTAACTTTCTTATGAAGGCTTCGTCCCAGCCCATCTTTGAGGCCACTACATGCTTTGATAAGGACACCACGGATGCATATACTCAGGAGGCCGACGAGAACACGGTGAGAAAATATTTTTTTAACTTAACACATACAATACAAATATACTTTTTCAAATGCTAAGCTTAATACTTGTTTTGTAGGTTGCTGATGGCCCGATGGCCTCTTCTACCGATCCTGCCGGCTGTGGTGTCGATGCTGCTGCACATCCTCACATAAAGAGGCGGCTTGATTATGATAATCCAGATAGTGTACCCGGGCGACAGGGATGCAACTCAGGCCAGCAGCAGCACTGAAACACACAGGCTGCAGGACACATTAATTTACTTATGCTTTTACTTTGTGTAAATAGTATATTATGTAAATAATGGTAACAATTATGTTTTAGAAACAATTTTATTTTATCTGCGTTTTAACAACAATTTTACTTTAACAGTACAACACAAACACAAACCTTGCAAACCTAACACAAAAACAAATAGTAGAACTAATGAAAACACTTGACAAAGGAAACATAAAGATACACTACACCGCTCAACACGTACATGCCATTGTTTAGTCACTACCGCCTAGTATTCTCTTCTCCAACCACTTGAGCAGGTCTTCCAACTTTTTTTATCTTCTTCCACCTCCTTTAGTTTCACCTTCAACTCCGTAATTTCTTGCTTGGATTGGCACTCTCTGTCCCACTGCCCCGTACACACATTATTAAGATGATACAACTTGTCTTTTTAGTATTCCTACTCACATGGTTCATTAATTCACACCTTAAAATTGCATGTAGGTACGTCGGGTTGCCTATAAAACTTGTTCATACACGCCCAGTAGCGGCATCCAGCTTCTTCCCAACAATCGTACATCATGCTTTTGGTTCCACAGTCGCACCTTGGGCAATAAAGGGGTTGTTGAGACATTTCTTAAAGAGAAACTTTGGTTTTATGGAAATATTTGTTATAGGTTGTTGTTAAGAGCAGAAAATAACTAGAATGCGCTCGTTATTTATATTTAAGATTTCACATAAAACGTAGTATTATACCACGCTTTACATATTAATTTTTTCTGCAAGAAAACAATTTTTCACATGGTTTTCAGCTTTTTCAGAACGACAAGACAACTCAAAAAAATGTAGTATTATACCGCGCTTTACATATAATTTTTTTAAAATTTTTATATTGGTCTTCCTTAATAACACCAATAAGTTGAATATTTGAACAATTCTATAAAGAAAATACTACATTATGTAAATAATGGCAACAATTCTATTTTAACAATATTTTTATTGTAACAGAATTTTGAACAATAATTTTATTTTAACATGACAACACAAACACAACATAGCAAACCTAAAGATACACATAACAAAAAACAAACAGTACAACTAATGAAAACACTTGACAAGGGAAACATAAAGATACACTACTACGCTCAACACGTACAAGCCACTATTTAGTCACGACCGGCTATTACTCTCTACTCCAACCACTTGAGTTGGTCTTCCAGCTTTTTTTTCTTCTTCTACCTCCTTGAGTTTCGCCTTCAACTCCTCAATTTCTTGGTTGGTTCGGCACTCTTGCCCATTGCCTCGTACACAAATTATGAAAATCATAAATTCTCTCTTTGTAGTATTTCTGCTCACATGGTTCATCCATCCATACCTCAAAATCACATGTAGGATCGTCGGGTTGCCTATCAAACTTTTTCATACACGCCCAGTAGCGGCGTCCACCTTCCTCCCACCAATTGTACAAACTGCATTTTTCTCCGCAATAGCACCTTGGGACATAAAGGGGTTGTTGAGACATTTCTTAAAGAGAAACTATGATTTTATGGAAATATTTGCTATTGGTTATTGTTAAACGTAGAAAATAACTAGAATGCGCCCGTTATTTATAGACAAGATTTCACATAAAACGTAGTATTATATCACACTTTACATATTAAATTTCTCTGAAACGAAACTGCTTTTTCACATGGTTTTCAGCTTTTTCAGAACGACAAAACAACTCAATAAAACGTAGTATGATACCGCGCTTTACATATTAAATTTTTCTGCAAGAAAGCTGCTTTTTCACATGGTTTTTAGCTTTTTCGGAATGACAAGACAACTCAAAATAACGTAGTATTATATCGCGCTTTACATATTAAATTTATTTTTTAATATTAAATTTTTTATATTTTTTACAAACACCAATAAGTTTAATATTTGAACAACTATATCAAAAGGTCATGTTAAAAAATAAGATGTACTAAGATTATGGAACATAATTTTATTTGATAGATATTGCAACATACACAAGTACAGACATGTATTACAAAAAACAATACGAAAACAAAAGGCTAGGGGTATCCTTGATAGTTGGGTACATTCAACGAACTTGCACCAGGAGCTGGATTACCACCGCCACGAACACCACCTGAAAGACATTTACGACGGTCGTGTCCTGTTTGCGAGCATATGCCATATTTACGCGCATAAACGGTGTCATCAACATCCATTTGGTTTTGTATACGCGCTCTCTTTTGCACATGCAGCTTGCGCAAATAGTCCTTGTTACATACCATTTTAAAAGGTTCCGGCGACCAATAATGCTCAGCACCTAATGGCTTCAACTACCCATTATACGTACGTATGCAGCAACACTGTATTGTCTATCAATATAGTTGGTTTCCCCAAAACCAACTCATTGAAAGAACTTCAACACATGTGCGCACAGTATGTGGTAGATGGTCCATTTCCCACATGAACACAACCTTCTGGCTTCATTCATTGTCTGTAGATTATTCCCAGGTGTCCGCGGATAGCGGCCTTAACTTTAAAAACACCCCGGTCATGATCGTACTGTAGAAATGAATACCAATGTGCTCACCTCCTGTACCTTTCAAATCTTTTCATGGGTGTTGGCATAAATTGAACACCCCTGTCCATCAATGCTGATGCAAATCCATGCCTTTTTACTAACCTCTCCGCACTCTGTTTGAATGTCATGCGGATCATAGCAGTGACAAGCAATCCACGGGCAAACTTCAACAAGCCATTGAATGACTCCGACACATTTGTAGTTAGGGCTCCCCATCTTCTACCGCCATCAGCATGCAATGTCCACATGTGAAGCTCATGTCCCATCAGCCAAGTATAGGCTCGTGGATCTAGCTGCCGGATCGCTTCCATGTGCCTCATGAATTTGCACTGCCGGTGCTCAGTTGTAGCCATCCACATTAAGTCATGCAAGGCCTTGTGAGGATATTTCTTATGGAAATTGGCCTTCAGGTGCCTCACATAGTAACGGTGGTACGCATAGGGTTCCTGCCATTCAGGCAAGTGTCGTACATAACTTAAAATACCACCATGTCGATCAGATATTAGACAAATACCTGAACGCTATTTGACAACGTGTTGCTTTAAGTGGTTCAAGAAAAGCGTCCACGTCTCTTCGCTTTCGTTGGCACAAATGACAAAAGCTAGTGGAAATATTTGTCCGTTGGCATCTACTGCAACTGCAATCAAAACCTTAATATCATACTTTCCATAGACATGAGCACCGTCTATGGAAATTACAGGATAACAATGCACAAAACCATCAATTGCTGGTTTAAATGACCAGAACACATAGTTGAAAATATATTCCGGTCAGTCGACTACGCTCAAGCCTCCATTCAACAACAGTCTCGGGGTTAAAGTATTGCAGTGCGGCCATGTACCTGGCAGTGATGAAAAAGACTTATCCCAATTGTCATAAATAAGTTCAAAGGCACGTTTGCGACCGAGATATGCCTTTCTTTTGGTTATAGTACAACCATACTCATGGTGGATAGCTGTAATATACTCTTTAATCTTGAACCTATTGGACACTTCCAAATATGGAATCAAGACAAGAGAAATCAAGTCTACATCGAGGTTGAAATGATTCTCATTGAATGTGTCTATTTCACATTTGTGGGTGCTAATAAATTTACCCACTTTCCACAAACCTGATTTCTTCTTGCTGGCACGCAACATCCAGTGACAACCCATAAAGTCTCTACGGCATATAACCTTGTATACATCCGTAGTTGACTCCCTTACCATTATCTCAGGGCACTCTCTTATACTGTAAATTTTTACAGCCCTAATTAGGCGAGCTTTATCGGGGAAATACATGCCCTTTGTCAAAACCGCTAGTCTAGACTCATCCCACATCGCTAACAGAATTTCATCATCATCCCTTGTGAGGGCATCCACGTTTGGCATACTTGGAAAATTATCAAGATAGGGAATATTCTGCTCGTGAAATGGCACGTGTGACTCGTACACTCTTTGTCTAGCGGGAGGTGGAGGAACATGCTCCCTCGTCAGCTCAGGTTCAACATTCACTTCCTCCTCATCATCACCCTCATCAGGGAAGGGTGTGTCATCTCCAAACTCATCCGCATTATTGTCATAATCACTATCATCTTCCTAACTCTGCGCATCTACCAAATCACGAGTCAATATGCCGTCTATAGGTAATTGTGTGAGGTCAGG